CCCTCTGCTCACGATCATTAAGGACCTTCATGATGGTGAGCGGGCCCGGGTAAAACTACGTGGCCGGGAGTCAGAGCCATTCCCTGTACACCTTGGGGTGCGACAGGGATGTCCTCTGGCTCCCACATTATTTAACATCTATTTTGACCACGTAGTTCGTGAAGCCTTCAATAGCTGTACCGGGGGAATCTCCATATGGTACAGATATAATGGGAGGCTAATCGATGCCCGGGTGCGGTCAAGGGATGGCTCCCTATTGCTCAACCACGTTATGTATGCTGATGACTTGGTAATAGCTGCTCAGTCAGAGGAGGAGTTGGAGACGCTGCTGCTGAGACTGGAGCGTGCCACTAAGAGGTGGGGCCTTACCATCAGCCCCACCAAAACTAAGCACCTGCCTGGGTATTTTGTACCATCGGACACTCCACCCCCACAACTCCCAATCGGTGATGGGGCAGTTGTGGAGAGAGTGGAGAGTTTCCCATACCTGGGCAGTGTGCTTATGACTGGCTCCAGTTTAACAGCAGAGGTCTCACTCCGAATCAGTCGAGCGGCAATATCTTTTCATCGGTTGCGTAACGCTGTGTGGAAGCTACCTGGTCTGTCGCTCCGCACTAAGCTTCAGGTCTTCTCGGCCACGGTCATTCCCTCCCTTCTCTACGCTTGCGAAACGTGGACCCCCCTAATGGAACATCTTCGCTGGTTAGAAACATTTAGGCTGGCCTGCCTACGATCCATCCTGGGTTTAACCAGACTGGATTGTGTGAGGAGCTCACAAATCCTTGAAAGATCTGGGCAGGGTCCCATCGGTGAGCTCCTCCGGCAGGCAAGGCTGCGATGGCTGGGTCATGTAGCCCGCATGCCCAGCCACCGCATGCCGAAACAGCTTTTGTTTGGCCGGATTGAGGGGGCTAAGCGGGCGCGGCACGGGCTAGAGAAGAGATGGAGTGATGTGGTACAGGAGGACGTGGAGCTGAGTGGACTTGCCGATGACTGGTACCAGCGGTGTCAAGATCGGCCTCTGTGGAGGAGGCTCGTGAAGGATGCTACTGGGCAGTTGGAGGCAGTCGCCCTCCAACAACAACGGAGGGCGGAGGAGCGACGCTCACAACAGCGAGCGGAGCGCCGGGTGGCTAAAGCACAGCAGGTTGGCACAGTAGGGGGCACAGGTGGTGCATCAGCCAGTCATCTCAGTCAGTCGACCCGTGGCACCTGGGTCTGCCCCGTGATCTCCTGCCAGCGGGCGTTCGACACTTCACGTGGCCTCAGGGTGCACATAGCCTGGCACAAGCGTCGTGGTGACGTCACCGCCACTTAGTGGCGAATGGCGGTTGTTGTTGGTGTGTGTGTCTAGTGGTGTGTGTGTGTCTAGTGCTGTGTGTGTGTCTAGTGGTGTGTGTGTCTAGTGGTGTGTGTGTCTAGTGCTGTGTGTGTGTGTCTAGTGCTGTGTGTGTGTGTGTCTAGTGCTGTGTGTGTGTGTGCCCCTAGTGTTGTGTGTGTCCCTAGTGCTGTGTGTGTCCCTAGTGCTGTGTGTGTGTGTGTGTCTAGTGCTGTGTGTGTGTGTCTAGTGCTGTGTGTGTCTAGTGCTGTGTGTGTGTCTAGTGCTGTGTGTGTGTGTCTAGTGCTGTGTGTGTCTAGTGCTGTGTGTGTGTGTCTAGTGCTGTGTGTGTCTAGTGCTGTGTGTGTCCCTAGTGCTGTGTGTGTGTCTAGTGCTGTGTGTGTGTGTGTGTGTCTAGTGCTGTGTGTGTGTGTCTAGTGCTGTGTGTGTGTCTAGTGCTGTGTCCCTAGTGCTGTGTGTGTCTAGTGCTGTGTGTCTAGTGCTGTGTGTGTCTAGTGCTGTGTGTGTGTCTAGTGCTGTGTGTGTGTCTAGTGCTGTGTGTGTGTCTGTCTAGTGCTGTGTGTGTGTCTAGTGTTGTGTGTGTCTAGTGTTGTGTGTGTCTAGTGCTGTGTGTGCGTCTGGTGGTGTGTGTGTGTCTAGTGTTGTGTGTGTCTAGTGCTGTGTGTGTCTAGTGCTGTGTGTGTGTCTAGTGCTGTGTGTGTCCCTAGTGCTGTGTGTGTGTGTGTCCCTAGTGCTGTGTGTGTGTCTAGTGCTGTGTGTGTGTCTAGTGCTGTGTGTCTAGTGCTGTGTGTGTCTAGTGCTGTGTGTGTCTAGTGCTGTGTGTCTAGTGCTGTGTGTGTGTGTGTCTAGTGCTGTGTGTGTGTCCCTAGAGTGCTGTGTGTGTGTCTAGTGCTGTGTGTGTCCCTAGTGCTGTGTGTGTGTGTCCCTAGTGCTGTGTGTGTGTGTCCCTAGTGCTGTGTGTGTGTCTAGTGCTGTGTGTGTGTCTAGTGCTGTGTGTGTCTAGTGCTGTGTGTGTGTCTAGTGCTGTGTGTCTAGTGCTGTGTGTGTCTAGTGCTGTGTGTGTCTAGTGCTGTGTGTGTCCCTAGTGCTGTGTGTTTAGTGCTGTGTGTGTCTAGTGCTGTGTGTGTGTGTGTCTAGTGCTGTGTGTGTGTCCCTAGTGCTGTGTGTGTGTCTAGTGCTGTGTGTGTCTAGTGCTGTGTGTGTCTAGTGCTGTGTGTGTCCCTAGTGCTGTGTGTTTAGTGCTGTGTGTGTCTAGTGCTGTGTGTGTGTGTCTAGTGCTGTGTGTGTCCCTAGTGCTGTGTGTGTGCTCCAGTGCTGTGTGTGTGCTCCAGTGCTGTGGCAGGATCCTAATTAATGATGATTAAGTGAATTTTTATTGGACTCCCCGCTTAAGTAATTGGGACTTAATTGAAATTGAGGATTCTCTCTCTCCTTTCCTACTCTTCTGTCCTGGAGTAAATTAGCAGCGTGTCTGCGTGCGTGTCAGTGTGTGTGTGTGTCTGTGCGTGTGTGTCTGTGCGCGTCAGTGTGTGTGCATATCAGCGTGTGTGCGCGCGCCTGTGTGTGTCAGTGTGTGTGCGTGTCAGCGTGTGTGCGTGTGTGAGTGTCAGTGTGTGTGTGTGTGCGTGTCTGCGTGTGTGTGCGCGTGTCAGTGTCTGCGAGTGTCCGCGTGTGTGTCTGTGTGTGTGTCTGTGTGTGTGTGTGTCTGTGTGCGCGTGTCAGTGTATCGTGTGCGTGTCTGTGCGCGTCTGTACCTGCGTGCGTGCGAGCGGCTGTGTCTGTGTGTGCGCGCCTGTGTGTGTGTGTGAGTGTCTGTGCGGTAGCGGGGAGCGGTGGGTGTAGTGGTTAGCGCTACGCTGCGCTACGAACCCGGCGACCCGAGTTCGATTCCCGCCCACGGCCAACACCGTCACTGACGGTTACCTGAACCCGGTCCTGGGCCTCCCCTAGGTCGACTCAGCCTCAAAATGAGTAGCTGGTGTAGTAGCGGTGTAGTGTAGTAGTGAACATCGTCACTGGGGGAGACAAAGGCGGCCGGGCGTGGTGCTGGCCACCCACCCCCTCGTGTGCCACAGTGCCGGTAGCCTTCACAGGTGCTGCTACTCGCTAACAGCACTTGCCCCTACAGCCTGCTAGAGGCTACACGGGGGACCTTTGTCTGTGTCTACCTTCATAGACGCTGCTGCTGCTACTCGCTACTAACAGCACTTGCCCCTACACCCTGCGAGAGGCTACACGGGGGACCTTTGTCTGTGTCTACCTTCATAGACGCTGCTGCTGCTACTCGCTACTAACAGCACTTGCACCTACAGCCTGCTAGAGGCTACACGGGGGACCTTTGTCTTTGCGTGCAGATGCATCACCATCACTGCTCATCATTAAATACCAATCACCGTGACATCGCTCCAACCACCAACATAATTATCATCATCATCATCATCTAATAACCACGACCATCACAGCCTCGCCACCGTCAATAATCATCAGCGGTGGTTTCGTTTCATCATTTAGACTCGCCCAGGAGTCTCAAGACTCGCCGAGCAGGAGGCCCCTGCCCAGGTGGTGTACGCAGTAGGGAGAAGGGGGGCGGGGTAAGTGAGCGAGCGAGCGGATGAGCGAGCGGGTGAGTGAGTGTGCGGGTGAGCGAGCGGATGAGTGAGTGAGCGGATGAGCGAGTGAGCAAGCGGATGAGTGAGCGGGTGAGTGAGCGGGTGAGTGAGTGAGCGGATGAGCGAGTGGGTGAGTGAGTGAGCGAGTGGATGAGCGAGCGGGTGAGTGAGTGTGCGGGTGAGCGAGCGGGTGAGTGAGTGTGCGGGTGAGTGAGCGGGTGAGTGAGCGGATGAGCGAGCGGGTGAGTGAGTGAGTGAATGAGTGAGCGGGTGAGTGAGTGAGCGGATGAGCGAGCGGGTGAGTGAGTGAGCGAGTGGATGAGTGAGCGGGTGAGTGAGTGAGCGGATGAGCGAGCGGGTGAGTGAGTGTGCGGGTGAGCGAGCGGGTGAGTGAGTGAGCGGGTGAGTGAGTGAGCGGGTGAGCAAGCGGATGAGTGAGCGGATGAGCGAGCGGGTGAGTGAGCGGGTGAGTGAGTGTGCGGGTGAGTGAGCGGATGAGCGAGCGGATGAGTGAGCGGATGAGCGAGCGGGTGAGTGAGCGGGTGAGTGAGTGTGCGGGTGAGCGAGCGGGTGAGTGAGTGTGCGGGTGAGTGAGCGGGTGAGTGAGCGGATGAGCGAGCGGGTGAGTGAGTGAGTGAGTGAATGAGTGAGCGGGTGAGTGAGTGAGCGGATGAGCGAGCGGGTGAGTGAGTGAGCGAGTGGATGAGTGAGCGGGTGAGTGAGTGAGCGGATGAGCGAGCGGGTGATTGAGTGAGCGGGTGAGTGAATGAGCGGATGAGCGAGCGGGTGAGTGAGTGAGTGAGTGAGCGAGTGGATGAGTGAGCGGGTGAGTGAGTGAGCGGGTGAGCGAGTGAGCGGATGAGCAAGCGGATGAGTGAGCGGGTGAGTGAGTGAGTGAGCGGGTGAGTGTGCGGGTGAGCGAGCGGTTGAGTGCGTGCGTGTGTGCGTGCGTGTGCGTGCGTGTGTGTGCGTGCGTGTGTGCGTGCGTGTGCGTGCGTGTGTGTGCGTGCGTGTGTGTGCGTGTGTGTGCGCGTGCGTGTGCGTGCGTGCACCTGTACGGAGCCGTTGTGAGCGATCAGCTGGTTTTTCATCTCCTCGCTCCACAGGCCGCGCTCCGTGAGGTCCTTCAGCAGGTGTGGGTTCACGACCTGCGACAAGCGGACAAGCGTTACCACGGCAACGTCGGCCCCCCACTCCCCCCCCCGCCCCGGGTGACGTTGCCGCGGCAACGTCATCCGCGGGAGGCTCGCGTCGGACACCCCGAGCGGAGCCTGGGTTAGAGCCCTGGGTCTGGGTGTCTCTCTCTCTCTCAGGGGGTTCACGATGGCCGTGTAGGAGACACTGAGACCCTGGGTTAGAGCCCTGGGTCTGGGTGTCTCTCTCTCTCAGGGGGTTCACGATGGCCGTGTAGGAGACACTGAGACCCTGGGTTCAAGCCCTGGGTCTGGGTGTCTCTCTCTCTCTCAGGGGGTTCACGATGGCCGTGTCGGAGACACTGAGAGCCTGGGTTAGAGCCCTGGGTCTGGGTGTCTCTCTCTCTCTCAGGGGGTTCACGATGTGCCGTGCAGGAGACACTGAGACCCTGGGTTCTAGCCCTGGGTCTGGGTGTCTCTCTCTCTCTCAGGGGGTTCACGATGGCCGTGTCAGAGACACTGAGACCCTGGGTTAGAGCCCTGGGTCTGGGTGTCTCTCTCTCTCTCAGGGGGTTCACGATGGCCATGTAGGAGACACTGAGAGCCTGGGTTCAAGCCCTGGGTCTGGGTGTCTCTCTCTCTCAGGGGGTTCACGATGGCCGTGTCAGAGA